GTGAAAAAAATCCTCCAGAATAGCTTTAAAAGAGGTCAGTCCAAATGCAGGTAACCATCACTAACTAGTCTGGGTCGCTCTGGTCGACTCGTTAACCCTTTAGCTCAGATATGAGGAATCTTTCATTCTCTTGAAGAATGGAGAGGAAGATATTTTTGCAGGCATCTCCAGCTTTCATGCAGAGGAATATCTCCCTCATCTGATCCTGGGAGGTGGCTAGAGATCTTATTCTGTCGTAGGCCTCATCCAGGAGAACTTTCTCCTGGAAAAGTCCATCTAAAATGGGTTTGATGTTGCTCACTCTCTGGATCAGCTCTTTTCTGTGTTTGTCCACAAAGTGCTCCTCTGGGGAGAAATCAGAACAGATTCCATCTGCTGTAATGAAAGAAAAAGCCTTTAATGTTTTATTCAATATAGAGAGCAGTCTGATGACAGTTTCCTCTCACTGTATTTGTCGTTGTTGTGTCTCTAATTTCTCCGGTGAACAGAGTGATGCTTTCTGTAACTTCCAGTGATTTTCTTCCACTTCTTACCTTCTGCTTTCACAGCTCCAGCTTCTGTTGAAGATCCTCCAACTGACAGAGAGAGAAACAGGAACACAGAGGGATTATTGCTGGGAAGGTTTTAATTCCCTCATAATGAGAAAACAACAGTCAGCTGATGCATCAAAGGCTTCCCATCTGTAAGTCGCTCTGACCACAAAACTGCAACGTTTCCAGCTACTTTTTAACCATTTTATCCACCTTTCATTTTAGACACTAAGTGTGGTTATAATCTATGAATGAAATTTGAATAAATTGAGCATCTTACCTGCAGACAAACCAGATTTAGGATAATCATCTGTATAAAAAGGAAGAAAAACAGTCTCAATGTTTTCCATTCAGTTTTCTTGGCTCCCTTCATTAATAATCATTAAACTGCTTTTGTTTCTGTTCCAGAACCAGTTAATGTGGGTTTGGACCAATGTTCTGCTGGAATTCCTGCTTCTGGTCGGGTTTTAACCACATCACTGCTGATTCTAGGGGGAAATTGCAGCAGCAGGAGTAGCAGTGAGACGTCCCCACAGCATGATGCCAACACCACCGTGTTTAATTCAGTGATGCATCTGATTCTAACAAGCTTTCCAGCTCTGGCATGCAGCTCTTTGGACCCTACAATGGCTCTTAATACTGTCTGAACGATGAAAACAACCAACTAATGGCTTGGAATAAAGTCTATTAATAAATAACATTCTGAGGAGTTT